ATTGCTCATCATCCTCCATCCATATCTCAGGGTGTTGGCTCACTCGTCGAATGCCTGTCTCCATAACCAAGTCTTCACCTGTTTCCTAAATGTCAAGATAGATGGGGCGGTTCTGATCTCCAGTGGGAGAGAGTTCCAGAGTCGAGGGGCCACCACTGAGAAGGCCCTGTCCCTCGTCCCCACCAGACGCGCTTGCGAGGCCAGTGGGACTGAGAGCAGGGCCTCTCCAGACGATCTTAATAACCTTGATGGTTCATAGGGGAGAATACGTTCAGAGTGGTAAACCAGGCCAGAGTCGTTTAGGGCTTTATAGGTCAACACCAGCACTTTGAATTGTGCTCGGAAGCTAATTGGCAGCCAGTGGAGCTGGTGTAACAGCGGAGTGGTGTGCTCCCTGTACCCAGCACCCGTTAGTAGTCTGGCTGCCGAGCGTTGGACTAGTTGCAGCTTCCGGGCAGTCTTCAGAGGCAACCCCACGTAGAGAGCGTTGCAGTAGTCTAAACGGGATGTAACCAAAGCGTGGACCACCATGGCCAAGTCAGCCCTCCCAAGGTATGGACGCAGCTGGCGCACAAGTTTTAATTGTGCGAAAGCTCCCCTGACCACCGCTGAAACCTGGGGCTCCAGGCTCAGCGATGAATCTAGGAGAACTCCCAGACTGCGAACCTGCGTCTTCAGGAGGAGTGTTACCCCGTCTAACACAGGCTGTAACCCTATACCCTGTTCGGCCTTTCGACTGACCAGGAGTACCTCTGTTTTTTCTGGATTTAGTTTCAATCTGTTGTCCCGCATCCAGTCCGTCACAGCGGCCAAGCACCGGTTCAGGACTTGGACAGCCTCCTTAGTAGCAGGTGGAAAGGAGTGACAGAGTTGGACATCATCTGCGTACAGATCACACCGTACCCCGAAACTCCGGATGATCTCTCCCAATGGCTTCATGTATATGTTAAAAAACATAGGGGACAGTACCGAACCCTGCGGGACTCCACAGTACAATGGCCGAGGAGTCGAGTAGGAGTCCCCTAGTGACACCTTCTGGGAGCGACCCTCAAGGAAGAACTGGAGCCACTGCAAAGCAGTACCCCCAAGGCCCATTCCTGTGAGGTGTCCAGAAGGATACCGTGGTCGACGGTATCGAAGGCCAAAGAGAGGTCCAGCAGAACCAACAGGGACACACTCCCCCTGTCCAGTTCCCGGCGAAGATCATTCACTAAGGCGACCAAGGCTGTCTCGGTACCATGTCCCGGCCTAAAGCCAGACGGCACCGGATCTAGATAGTCCGTGTCTACCAGGAACTCCTGCCCTACAGTTTCATATCCAAGACAGAAAGCCATTTGGGCCTTGACCATCTTAGGATCCCTGTTTGAGCCTTATATTATTTTTTTTCCTGTTACTTACTTAGGTGATCCCTCGTTGGACGAGTAGGATAGTCTTCCATGATTAGTATTCTTGTGGATCCGTAGGTGACCGTGGAGCCCTATTCTTGACCTGCATTTTCCCCCACAGTGAGGGCATTGGTTTCCAGGTGGAAGGCTGTCTCGGTTGAGTTGGCTTGACGCGCCTTCCTTTTGGCACATTTCTCTCTTTCACCCTCCATTCGTGCCTCTTCAAATTCTGCAGCACTGCTGGTCACAGCTGACCTCCAGCTGGAGCGCTCAAGGGCCAGGGCTTCCCAGTTCTCAGTGTTGATGCCAGAGTTTTTAAGGTTGGCTTTGACCCCATCTTTCAATGTCTTTTCCTGTCCACCAACATTCCGTATGGACCAAACTTGCGCCCGTACCTTGGGAAGTCTGACTTGGCCATGGTAGTCCACGCTCTGGTTACATCCCGGATTGATTACTGCAACTCGCTCTACGTGGGGTTGCCCTTGAAGACTGCCCGGAAGCTTCAGATGGTCCAGCACTCGGCAGCCAGGTTGCTAACGGGAGCGGCACTCAGGGAGCATACCACTCCTCTGTTGAGCCAGCTCCACTGGCTGCCAATCCGCTACCGGGCACAATTCAAGGTGCTGGCTTTAGCCTATAAAGCCCTAAACGGTTCTGGCCCCACTTACCTCTCCGAACGCATCTCCACCTATGAACCGACTAGAACATTAAGATCGTCTGGGGAGGCCCTGCTCTCGGTCCCGCCTGCGTCACAGGCGCGCTTGGCGGGGACGAGAGACAGGGCCTTCTCAGTGGTGGCCCCTCGGCTATGGAATGCCTTACCGGTAGACATCAGACAGGCACCTTCGTTGCTGGCGTTTCGGAGAAAGGTTAAGACCTGGCTTTATGAACAAGCGTTTGGTTAAGCAGTGCAACCAATCAAAGGAAGACGGTAAATGGAACATAGGAATGGCACAAGGATTATGAGAACGGATCTGATTTCACTGAGGCGTTATGTTTTGTTTTGTTGACTTGTCTTGTTTTGATTTGTTAATTGTTGTGGATTGATGTTGTTGATCCTGTTTGTGGCATTTGTTGCGTTTTAATTGCACTGACATTGTTTGATAATTTGTACCATGTAAACCGCATTGAGTCGCCTGTTTGGGCTGAAAAATGCGGTATAGAAATAAAGGAAATAAATAAATAATAAATAAATAAACTTGCCATTAATATTCCATATGCCCAAATATGAACACAGATGGAGTTTGGGGGAAATAGACCTTGACATTTGGGAGTTGTAGTTAGTAAAGGTAAAGGTAGTCCCCTGACATTAAGTCCAGTCATGTCTGACTCTGGGCGTGGTGCTCATCTCCATTTCTAAGCCGAAGAGCTGGCATTGTCTGTAGACTTCTCCAAGGTCATGTGGCTGGCATGACTGCGTGGAGTGCCGTTACCTTCGCGGTACCTATTGATCTACTCACATTTGCATGTTTTCGAACTGCTAGGTTGGCAGAAGATAGGGCTGACAGCGGAAGCTCACGCCGCTCCCCGGAATCGAACCTGTGACCTTTTGATCAACAAGTTCAGCAACTCAGTGCTTTAACCCACTGCGCCACTGGGGGCTGTACTGGGATTTATAGTTCACCTACAATTAAAGAGCATTCTGAACCCCACCAACGACAGAATTGGGGCAAACTTCCCACACAGAACCCCCATGACCAACAGAAAATACTTAAGGCCATCCAATCCAACTCCCTTCATCAGGGCAAGAAAACATAATCAAAGCCCTCCTGACAAAGAGCCATGAAGCCATAGATATTGATTATCATAGATTTGAAAGAGGCCCTTATTTGAAAGGGACCCTTAAAGAAGGACAATGATATGTTACATGTTCCAGGGTGGGCAACCAGACACTCTCCACATCAACACTGACAAAGAAACAGCAAGAAATACTGTTTACCCACAAGCATAAAGAAATTACATATATTAGAAACCAACATTTTCTCATTATTTTATTTTCCAGATCATCAAACTGGGCCACAGCAATACGTGGCAGGAAACGGCTAGTAATAAATAAATATTTATATATCACAGGGAGGAAGGGAGCAAGTTTGTTTTCTGCTTCCCTGGAGACTAGGACGCGGAACAATGGCTTCAAACTACAAGAGAGGAGATTCCATCTGAACATGAGGAAGAACTTCCTGACTGTGAGAGCCGTTCAGCAGTGGAACTCTCTGCCCCGGAGTGTGGTGGAGGCTCCTTCTTTGGAAGCTTTTAAACAGAGGCTGGATGGCCATCTGTTGGGGTGATTTGAATGCAATATTCCTGCTTCTTGGCAGAATGGGGTTGGACTGGATGGCCCATGACTGTGAGAGCTGTTCAGCAGTGGAACTCTCTGCCCTGGAGTGCGGTGGAGGCTCCTTCTTTGGAAGCTTTCAAAGAGAGGCTGGATGGCCATCTGTCAGGGGTGATTTGAATGCAATATTCCTGCTTCTTGGCAGAATGGGGTTGGACTGGATGGCCCATGACTGTGAGAGCTGTTCAGCAGTGGAACTCTCTGCCCTGGAGTGCGGTGGAGGCTCCTTCTTTGGAAGCTTTTAAACAGAGGCTGGGTGGCCATCTGTCAGGGGTGCTTTGAATGCAATATTCCTGCTTCTTAGCCGAATGGGGTTGGACTGGATGGCCCAGGAGGTCTCTTCCAACTCTAGGATTCTATGATTGTATGAAACATAGTCTCCCTCTCCCATTCAGTAAAATCTTTGATGGAAAAATGCGGCAAGCTAATGACAACAATGAGGAGGAAATTCAGCCAATGGGAGCACCTCCCGCTGACGTCTCCACCTTTCCCGTCCAATTAGAATACACTACAGCTGGCCAATGACACGCAGGAGGCGGGATCTTGGAAAGGCAGAGAAATCCGCCTTGCTTTTTGTAAGCCCCGCCCCTTCACGCTCAGTGACCCAATCGCGTTTTAGCTCCCCGGTTGTGGGCGGAGCCGAGGAGGAAGGCAAGATTTCGGAAGACGGAGAGGAAGAGAGGCGGAGAGGTCTTTAGCTCCGCCCCTTCACGGCGCGTCACGCTCAGTGGCCCAATGGCGTTTTAGCTCCCGATTGTGGGCGGAGCCAAGGAGGGAGGCAGGATTTCGGAAGACGGAGAGGAAGAGAGACGGAGAGGTCTTTAGCTCCGCCCCCTCACGCTCAGCGGCCCAATCGTATTTTAGCTCCCGATTGTGGGCGGAGCCGAGTAGGAAGGCGGGATTTCGAAAGATGGACAGGTCTTCAGCCCCGCCCCTTCACGCTCAGTTACCCAATCGCGTTTTAGTTCTCCGATTGTGGGCGGAGCCAAGGAGGAAGGCGGGATTTCGGCAGACGGACAGGTCTTCAGCCCCGCCCCTTCACGCTCAGTTACCCAATGGCGTTCTATCTCCCCGATTGTGGGCGGAGCCGAGGAGGAAGGCAGGATTTCGGAAGACGGACAGGTCTTCAGTCCCGCCCCTTCACGCCCAGTTACCCAATCGCGTTCTAGCTCCACGATTGTGAGCGGAGCCGAGAAGGAAGATTGACAGGAAGAGAGCCCGTTTGGGTCTATAGAAGAACGGTTGAGGGGCGTGTCCGAGTGAAAGGGAACGAGCCAATGAGCGTCGAGGGGCGGGGCTAGAGGGTTCTAGCAGGTTCCAGAAGGCGGGGTGGGAAGAGAAGCAGGCGGCTCGACTCAGTGAGGGAAGCGGCAGCGAGGAGGTCCGGCCGGCGCCATGGAGAAGGTCGGGCCTAGCTTGGTGTGGCCGGGAAGCCGGGTGGAGGGGGGGAAGGGGGCCTGAGGGGGACGTAAAGGATCTCGGGAAGGCCGCGTGGGGTGGGGGAGGGGCTCGGAGGGGGTCTCCTTAACGGAAGTGGGTTGGCGCAAGGCATGGCGGGAAAGGGAAGCGTGGGCTTGGGAGGGGAGCTGCAAAGAACGTGTGAATGTCAGATTTCAAGGGGGGATTCCTATTGGGGGTCAAAAGCAGGGCCTCCAGATTTCAGAGGATCTTTGAGGGGTAAATGTATGGAATAATAATAATAATAATTCACTTTCATGCAAAACATGGAGTCTCCTTCTCTGGAGGTTTTGACTCAGAAGCTGACTGACTCAGAAGCTGGATGGCCATCTGTCCAGAGGGCTTGAATGGTGTCTTCCTGCCTGGCAAAAGGGGGGCTGGACTAGATGGCCCTTTGGGGTTCTCTTCCAACTCTAATTCTACTCATAATATTATAATGTAATACCATATACAATATAGTATTAATAATAGATGGACATCTGTCGGGATGGCTTGGATGGTGTCTTCCTGCCTTGCAAAAGGGGGGCTGGACTAGATGGCCCTTTGGGGTTCGCTTCCAACTCTGATTCTACTGATAATATAATGTAATACAATATTCAATATAATACTAATAATAACATTATAATTATATATTTTATATGAAATGTAATATTACTCGTAATATCACAATATAATGTTATAGTATAATGTAATATATAATATTAATATTGTGCTATGGTAATCTTCTTATCTATATAAATGAAAATGTAATGTTCGTTTGTGGGATTCACAGAACGCAAAAACCCCTGGACGAATTGACACCAAATTTGGACACAAGACACTTAACAACCCAATGTATGTCCTTCACTCAAAAAATATTGATTTTACAAGATGTAATTTTATACAATACATCATATATACCCTCACTACCTCTGAGGATGCTTGCCATAGATGCAGGCGAAACGTCAGGAGAAAATGCCTCTAGAACATGGCCATATAGCCCGAAAAAACCTACAAAACCCCTATTTATTTATTTATTTACTTTATTTGTATACCGCTGTTCATATCACCTAAACAATCCTATATAATTAACAATAGCCATTCACTGGCGTCTCATCACTGAAAACATGATCCAGATCCGTCATCCATTGTTCCATTCCTATGTTCATTACACTCATTGCACTAACTATTCGAACGCCTGCTATTATTAATATTATTAATATTACTAGTATTGTATTATAGAATTATAGAATCAAAGAGTTGGAAGAGACCTCATGGGCCATCCAGTCCAACCCCATTCTGCCAGGAAGCAGGAATATTGCATTCAAATCACCCCTGACAGATGGCCATCCAGCCTCTGTTTCAAAGCTTCCAAAGGAGTCTCCACCACACTCCAGGGCAGAGGGTTCCACTGCTGAACTGCTCTCACAGTCAGGAAGTTCTTCCTCATGTTCAGATGGAATCTCCTCTCTTGTAG